TACGACTGGCCTGGTGTTTGATTGAAATCAAGAAGTCGGAATATGAGGCCAACAACGACTCGAAATCAAAGGAACAGGAACTGGAATTGATGGAAGCCCTGCAAGTGTTGATTTCTAGGGACGATTCGGCGATAGCATGTGCTAAGCGTAAGGATGCCCTTTGCTTTGTGAGTTTCGTGATGGATCGTATCCCCATTCCTGTGTTGGAAGAATGCATAAAAACCATTCGGCAAGGGGGAGTTGATCGTAAACGAAACTTTCTGAAAGCACTCCTGGAGCTAGATCAGGATATGCGGCTGCTCATACAAAGTAACGAATCGAACGACATGGAAAGCTATCGCAGGTTGGAAGAAGTGAGAAGATACTCAAACAAGGAGTTGAAAGTTAGTCGGGAGTCAGTTGAAGCAGTCAGGGGACAGAAGGACTATGCAACTTTGGGGAAGTTAAGTCATTCCAATATGTGTCAGGCATCCCAGGGATGGCGTACAATTCCTTCGTGGACGAGGAAGCCAGGGAAGCATACTTTGACTATGAGCAAGTTGTAGTACTTGATTTCTGGGTCGAGCGAGTCAAGGAAACTGGCATGTTGATGGTGGAACAACCCAAGCTGGGAATCATTTTGGAGGAACGAGTGGTCGAGCCCTCGGTTCCCGAGCTAAAGGGGCAAGTGAGTTTTGTTGTGGTTCTTGGGACGGTCCCTTGAATATCAGCTTAGTAACCATGTGCGAGCTCATAAAGCCTTCCTGGTGTCCACATCCAAACTGAAAATAACGAAGCAGAAGAGCGGACTATCCACGGAGCCAGCCGAGGGAAAACCCTCCGGTGATTGGTTGAGACAGGGCACCCGTCTAGCCCACATTAGTGGAATGGACGGACACGTAAGCAAATTTGGGCATTGCTTGAAAACGCTGAGTAAGCAGCATCGCCGACTGGCTCAATTGTAAGGGAGGATGAGCATGTCGAACAAGAGTGGAATGGAGTTGATTGCGGACTGTCATGGAGTAACGGAAGTGAACTTGATCACTGCCTTGGAGTTTTGCACTATGACGAGCTCTATAGAATCACTGGAACGCCTAGAGCGTGTCCATGGGTTAGTTACGTCCCTTAGTGTGGAAGTGTTCCCTGGACTATTGCAGACTGAGCAAAAGATTGGAGGTTGGCGAGAGACTCTGGAGAACGAGATGAATTTGAAAAACAGTGAGGCCTATCATAGACCTACTGGTTCGAATTATTTGGTGGGTTCGAGCTCTGCACCATATTGCAATAGTAGGTACCCTACGCACATGGTGGTGATGGAAGCGAGGACACAGTAGGTGTTGGTCGACCAACGGTTCTCTGTGCTAAAGTGCGTGAGATTGGCCAGATTGTCCGAGAAATCGTATGACTACCTGACGAAGATCATTCGGGTCGTCCCGAAGAGATCTGAAGGCGAGTTGCAGGAATAGTGGGTGAAGAGTTCATGAGTTTGAGTGAGGGTAATGTGAGTGAATTCAAGAAGAAGAAGGCGAGCGGAGCGTTACCCACCGAATTCCCCACCATGGATGAAAAGGACGATGTACACAGGATTGTGATGGAAGTGGAACCGTTACTGGGAGCTTCAGGGTACCGGACCCGAAGGAACATCTTGATGACCCATAGGGCGCAGACACTAAGGTATCCCAAACGCGGGAATCTGGTGTTAGTGTGGGACTTAGAGGAGTGGTACTCCACGGGGTTGCGCGACCAAAATCAACAAGTGTCAATCGTGGTAGTTAGTGCCATGCTGACGGTGAGATGGTTAGAAGCTAACGCGGGTACAAGTGAGCAGCCGACGGCCGTGCCGACATCTGAGCAATTAAGCAACGTGAAAATGAACCACAGCTTAGATCTTTTCAGAACCACCTGCAAGGTTCTGAGGATACCCAAAGCCATTGAGAGGATATGGTCAAGGCAAATAATGATGCCTTGGTTCCGTGCAGTGATGACATCATGGATGTATGAACGCGCGAAGTGTCATATGTCTAGGAACACGGAAGCCTATCGATCCTTCCAGCTAGATATAGGACCTGGAGCCTAAAGGAGAGCATTCTTAACGCACAGAAACGCTGTTACCACAGCGGCGAAGCGAGTAGCTAGAGTGCCTTGTGTTACTGAGGCAGAAAAGAGCGAGGTCTTACGAGCTGACCTAGAACGGAAAGTGAGCCTGTGCCTTCACAACAGCCTTTGCAGGAACCGGGAGCAAAAGGTGAATGTGGACTTGCTACCTCGTTGCAAACCGGGGCTTTTAGAGCAGGAGAGTTAGGGTATGGCCCGCAATTCCGTGGACATGCTGGAGAAAGTCCAAAGAGACAGTGAGACTGAAGAACAAGGACAAGAAGCACATGACAAGCGACGATAGTGAAAAGTGAAGAGAAGAGGAGAAAAACTTGATTGTCTTTGTGTGCTAAATCTTTTACCAATCAACCAAGTTTGATTATTGAAACTGTTAAACTTTTTTTGCTGTAGTTTGGTCAAACCAGGGTTTGAGAAATATTTAATTGATGCAATTGTTAAATGACAATGAAAACTTTAGTTGACGCTATTTAGCTATATATATATAGAGAGAGAGAATCGGTGAATGTATTTACCTATTTAAACCCGACTGAAATTTTCAACCTGTGTAAGACACGTGTTCACTGTGTGGCGACCTGGTGGGTTTGCGTACGCTCGCTCGAAGAGGGTGAGTACCTTATTACCTTTGCTAGCCACAGAGTTTCTTAGTTTTAATATTGAGGACGACAGCATGAATAACTGATTCTACTTGGTGAGTGACATTAAGTTAATTTTAATGGATGCCTGGCCGTGCCAGGTCCCAAATCTTGAAACAAGCGAGTGCAAAAAGAAATTTTATGGTGAGATGACGTACGTTGTCAGAAAGAAATTTCATCTGGGACACTCCTCAAGGTGCAAATTTTGTGAAAATGTTGAAAGGCAGTGAGATGTAGTATGATGCCATTTGTGGCACGCAGTGAGTTGAGGTGGAGCAGATAAGTTTCATTTTCTAATGCGATTTGTAAGGTTGATTGTAGAGAACTGGAACACTACTAGACACTAACCCGGTGTTATGCGATCAATGAGGAAATTGATGGGGACTGTCCGGGGAGTATGTGCCATTCCGCCGAATTGGCACAGCCTAACCTTCCGGCACAGTGCGAGATAAGAATTAGAGGCCTTAACGATCATTTATTAGTAAAAAGGAGGGTCAGAATATTCTGGGATTTTAAATGTTCAAAAATTCGAATTGTAACGTCACATTTCTGAGAAATGCTAAAACGGCCATTTTGAGCCGAAAAACAGAAAAACAGAATAACAGCTAAAATAGCCAGAGACTGTTGGTAGAAGATATAAAAAAAACAAAGCCTCTTATCGTGACGATCATGCACAATAAGACAGCTAATTAGAGACAACAGACGGAAAGAAGGCTTCAGTGGGGAAGAAGAAAAGAGCAGTACCCCCGCCTTGCCACGAGTTGATAGTAATAACGACGTTTTTAAGGTGAAATCACAGAAGCGGAGGCTCGGCCACCCAGAGACAGTATATGGTGAAGGAGTATAAAGAACTGACTTTTCAGCTACTCTGACGCCATAAACATTTTGAATTAACAACGGTATTGTTTGATATTTTAGAATATAAGCAGCTAAAAAGAGGGAAGGGTCAATCCATCTCCAATGGATATAATATAGAACTCTCACCAAAAACATAGTAAAATAGGATATTTGAGCCGTGTTTTTAATATCAATCCCGTAGTCTGAGAATCCAAGACCCAGCTATGTGGTTGTGTTCGCTTGTAAACGGAAGCTGATTAAAAGTCGTTTGACTGATGGCCTAAAAATGGCAAATTTTCACTTAGCCCTAGACAGACCAAAAAATCAACTGACTAGGTCGAGACGATGAAAAACGAGTAGAATTTAGGTAGCTGACGCAGGCCAGTCGTTAATAGGTACTTTTTCTATGCTCCGTCACTGTGTAGTATTTTGGCGAATGTTACTCATTTTCTTCTCATATGTCTACTTTTTCATTACACAAAAACCCCTCCTTATCAAACGGCACTGCCAGAAGACCGTTGTTTTTCAAATACTTTCTGGCTTTTTCAACTGCTTTGTCAGAGGGGTCTGTTTCACATTCTTAGCATATCTCTTTGCAGCTGCTGCAATCTCACATAATTTTTCTCCGGGTAATCTATTTAACTTCAGTTCAGACCAAAAGTCTATCGATGTCCGCAAGGAAGTGAATTTCATAGCATTATCTCGTACCGGATGTTTTGTTCCAAAACTTAAGACTTCCCGCACCCAGAGCGGCAAAATCACTACATCTAAAAATCTGACTGACCTTTCATTCAAGTTTTTTAATGGTCTATCCTGTCTTTCCGAACGCTTTTCAAGCTTTTTCTTGTGTCGGCTTATCAGATTACTGACACAGCACCTTGCTTGCAGGTTCAGATAGAATATTACCGAAGGCCACCACTTCGCATCTATACCCCTTCTCACTACCTCTCTTGCTTTTGCTAGGTTACCCGAAGCCTTGGCCGTATCCGCGTTTGCCTGGCTTATCTCAGATCTCAAGAGTCTCAGTTGAAAGCTGTGCATCACGATTTTCTAGTTATCACCAGCCGATATGTTATGTTTTGACTGTCCTTTATTGTGACTGGAATATCTGATGAAGGGTTTCCTTACTGTAATCTCGGTTACAATGATACTTTTGACCTGGTTACCTTAAAGCTGCTTAAATGTGATCAAAGCGCCAGTATATAATTGTAAACAAAGTCAGGTCTGGTTGCAAACTTCTCCTTTATTTTCAATTTTTCTTTTATTTGCAAACTTTTCCTTTATTTAGCAAACTTCAGGAATTGTAAACTTTTTTTCTACTTTCGCGTAATTCAAGATCTGTGTTATCTTGAGAGTGCAACTGAAATTGAACAAAAATCGGTCAAAAAATCCGACATCTTACCCCCTAGTTATTATTTTTTATTTGTTTTCAGAGATATGTTTCTCGATTACGAGTTGGAGGAAGATTTGATGGGCCTCAAAGTTCAGCCTATGTCGGTTACGATATTGAAGGACAAGCAGAATCTGATTGGAATCAGCATTGGGGGTGGTGCCCCGCATTGTCCATGCTTATTCGTTGTGCAAGTTTTCGACAATACTCCAGCGGCGAAAGTGGGGACACTGGAATCTGGAGATGAAATTTTATCGATTCAAACACAGTCTGTTAAAGGAAAGTCGAAACAGGAAGTTGCAAAAATGATACAGAGTGTTAGAGGAGATGTGAATATCGGCTTCAACAAGCTTGTATGTCCAGACTTGAATGAAGGAAAATCGATAGATATAATAATGAAGAAGTTGAAGCACAGGATGGTCGAAAGCATGTCATCGCAAACGGCTGATGCTTTGGGGCTTAGCCGAGCTATTTTGTGCAACGATACTTTGATCAAAAAATTCGAAGAACTTGAAAAGACGTCTTCAATGTATAAGGGCTTACTGGAGCATTGTAAAATTCTTCTGCGTGGATATTTTCAGCTTGCGCATGCTCATAAGCTATTTGGAGATGTGTTTTCGACCATTGGAGCGAGAGAACCTCAGCATGTTGCTTCAGAATCGTTCCGAAAATACGCAGACTCCCATCGATCAATCGAGAAATTTGGAATCAAGCTGCTAAGAACCTTAAAGCCAATGGTCAGTGACCTAGAGACTTATCTAACTAAAGCAATACCAGATACTAAGTTGACAATCAAGCGTTATGCAGATGTGAAGTTCGAGTACTTATCGTACTGCCTGAAGATAAAAGAGATGGACGATGAAGACTACGCCTATTGTTCAATGGGAGAAATACTCTACCGAGTCGAAACAGGCAACTATGAATATAGATTACTTCTTCGCTGCCGACAAGACGCCAAGAAGAGATTCGCTAAACTGAGACACGATGTCCTGGAAAAACTTGAATTACTGGACAACAAACACGTGCAAGATATTGTGTTCCAAATGCAACGCTTCGTTACAGCTCTTTCGCGTTATAATACAGACTGCCACGAAAAATTGGAGTCATGCAGTGATATTTTCCCAATTGAGGTAGACTTGCAGGCGACTACTCTGAACTACCACAAAAAGAATGACTTCTCGGAAGATGGTCAGGAGGAACTCGAAAACAATCATGATAATCAAGAAGACAGACAGAATAATGATGGCAATCTCAACAAACCAGATGTAACTGTAGATACAGAACTACTGGAACTAGGCGAGAATAGCGCATCTCAACCATTGAATTTTGATGCAGACTTTTTCGGATCAGCGGTACAATCCGACTCTGGAAATCCCTTCGGTGCATATCCTAGACAACGCCAATCGCTGCAACATTCCTCAGAAATTGACAAGTTGCTTGATTAGCAAGCATGTATAGCAATAATTTAAGTCACTGGTGGAAATTAGAATTTTGTTTATATATAAATCTTTTAAGTCTTTATTCAAAAATGGTTGCATGTTTTTGTGAATGACAAGAGAATTTAGTATTTTCTTTGGAAAAGTGAAATTGTCGATGGAGGCTTTATTACTATCGAGGTAGGCTAAAGTCTAACTAAAATAAAAAGAGCAAGAACAGTCATCTTGCAAATGTTTTAAAAGAATATTCATGATCAAAGGCACCAGTGTAAGAGCTGCTCAGCACTGAAAGGAGGAAAACTGTTGTGCCCTTGCTTAAAACCTACTTGAGTTTTTTGGACTGGGTAGTGTTGTCGTAACGCTGGCAATTAGCAGGAATCATTTTGGGCATCGAACGAACGCTTCTTAGCCACTTCATGATCGCTCTTTTGTTTTGATTTTTAAAGAGTCAATAAACGCAGTGAAGACTTTTATATAGGTCGTGATGATTTTTTTAGGAAGTCTTAAAATTTGTTCACTTTCCAATTTGTTTTTTCTGCGGTTTTTATAATTTTTCGCGAAGCATATGAAATTTCCACACTTGTGATCAGGTTAGTGTGTTATTACAAACTCGCAAAAAAACGTGTTCATTTAAAGTGTTCACTTATTTGTAAATTTTAATGTAGCATTGGAAATTGCATAGCATCTGCTTATTTTTTGGCTATTGTTTGGTAATTTTAAGCTTCCGTGACTGTGTGGCTTGTGCTTGAGTCTTTTAATCTCTAGGTCGCAGGATAGAATCTCAGAGGTAGCCAATTTTTTTTACTAATTCAAGGCTTATTTTTGTTATTGCACTTAATAGAGCTGCTTTTTGTCGTGTTTTCGCGAGTGTTAGTGCAGCGGCAATGTTTTTCACAATGCTTTTGTAAAACTGGTTTAAAATTTTTGTCATGATATATTTCTCGTTTTTGTTGCTTTCCCTATTTATGGGCTTTTTTTATAGTGTTTCATTGGGTTTCTGTTCCGACTATACTTAAACACGGGTGTGTTTAAGTATTTACTTTTTTTTGTTTTCCACGCAAAATCGGGTATTACAAATAATCTTCAGAGAGGTTGAGTGATAAATCATTTTAAAGCCCTTTCATTTGCGATTCGAACATCAAATTTTTCCAACAAGTTGTCCCATAGTTTGAAGTTTAGTGAGCGAGTAACGCCATGGGTAAACTATTTTCGGAAACTTTCGTTAAACTATTTTCGGAAACTTCATTTTGCGCTTCTTTGGTAATATATTTTTAAAACATAAAAAAAATTTTATGCAAAGAATTTAAAATTTTTTCTCTTATTAGTTTTCTGGAGACGACAGTGGTCGATTATGCGTAATTCACTAATTTTCTACTCGTTTTTTTTTGTTCTCTCATCACATCACGCACAAAAAAACGGCACTCATTTAAAGAAAGGAAAACACTTTTTTAGTTTTTTATGAATGTGGTCGGAATTGCTGACTTGATGCCTTAATATAAGATATTAGGAATTGAAGTGCTGACCTGTTTGGTTCCTAAAAATGTGAAGCCAAACTAATTCCAATCTTTTTCTGATCTGAAACTTTTGAAATATTTTTTTTTGAGAAAATTGAAATCTTTGAGTGTTTGTGCTTTTCAATGATCTCTGAGTGCCTATAGTGGCATTTTAGTCTTGTAGTTTAGAATATTTTGTGTCATATAGACGCAGTTTGGGTTGTTATTGGCTTGGGCTTCGATGTTGACAACGATTTTGTAGTTGACCTTAGTGTCTTTCTTTGGGTCTTAACAACTTGTTTAGCAGGATCAGTGAATATTCAATTAAATTTCAAGGATTGATTTTGTGCATTTGGCTCAAAATAAACGCTCATGCCTTGTTTTTTTATCTTTGGCTTAGTTCCGCAGTACCTTATGGATAAATAACGCTGTTTATCATGTTTTTCGAAAATTCACAGATGGCGTAGATGTAAGGTCCCAGACTTGTCAGACATAAATAGTTTCTAAGTATTTTCTTTTTTAAAATTTACACAAACAAAGCTTGTGTGATAGTATGATCTCATTTTTTCTAAACTAAGTCCCAGATTTTGGTGTTCATTTTAAAAAAGTTCATTTTGATCAATAACCAACTATTAAGTACAACCAATGCTAAGGATGTTAACACAGAGTATTTTTGTTTTGACTTTTGTAATGAAAGTAACGGAATATTTGCGCTCAGGGTGATTTTTTTTCTTCAGACAAATTTCGACTTTTTAACTAGCCATTTTTGACGGGATTTTTAAAAGTATCATTCAAAAAGTATTGGTGCCCTGAACTTAATTTTGGAAAGATATTTCACCTGTGAGCTTTTTTTTGTAAAGTTATAGGGGTTTAAAGATTGCCATTTTGGCCAATTTGGGACAATTAAAGCGTAAGCGGAGATTTAATCCGTACTTAATATGGCGCATGGGGGATGATTATCTTAAAAAATCTCAAATTAGGAAAAAAAATTCATTTCTATTATATTTAATTTTTTAAATGTTATTACTGCTCCAAAGACTGCTCTATAAATTGAGGCATGTTAGTGGGTCAATTTTTTTTTCAAATTGACTGGTAATGCTAATGCGTCATAATTGGCGTGCGTCACTTAAGAGTAATGTGATTTTTCTGTTATCTGACCTTGGTATCTTTAGGCGCATCTTTTCTAGTTTCCCACCAACCTCGTAAAATCACAATGTAGAGTTATTCATAACAATAAAAATGGTTCATTTCAGTCGGTTTTCACGCTGACATGTTTTTATCCGTTTAGAACATGAAAGTCATTGTACCACACTCAAAAAATGTTGTTCCTGATAATAGATACACTAGCAGACAAAATTAAGCGCAAATTCAGGGTTTTCTATAAAATTCATGTTTGCAATGTCCATTTTGACAACATTTACTTCGAATCGCAAATAATCAGAGCTACCAACTGTGAAAAACCAAGTAAAGATAGAGAAGAGTTAGAGAAGAAGCCAAGTAAAGATTTAGTAAACATTTGAAGAACCTACTGGAGCGTATTAACACAAGTAAAGCTTGTGTTGCAATATGAACTCTCTTTTTTCCAACCTAAGTCGCCAATGCTAAGTATATTAATACAGATTATTATATTACAAATAGCACTTTAGCCTCAAGGTATCATGGATCTGTAGGGTAGAGGTAGGGAAGGAGACCTGCACCAAAATTAGAGGGTTCGAACTCGGGCAGGGTCGGATATTTCGAATGAACTTTCTCATATACTAGTTTAAATGCGTCCACTATAAATTGAGGCATGGTAGTTGGTAATTTTTTCAAATTGACTGGTACTACTAATGCGTCATAATTGGCTCGCGTCACTTTGCAATTATGTAGAATCATAATTGGCGTCCGTCACTTAGGAACTTTTGTAGACTTAGATCTCGTTTTTCTATTTGAAAGATTTTGGCATATGGTATTTAGGCTTAGTAGCCTCGTTTTGTGTCATTTGCTTTACAAAAAATCAAGCTGAGGGAACTTCGAATTTTGAGTTTTTTTGTTTTCGGGGTTTTTGGACATCACTGGCTGCCGAACTATTGTTGCCGTTGTTATTGTTTTGTTCATTTGCTTATATTGCTAGGATAAGGCCGTGATGTATCCCTCTTGATACTTTTCTTTCAAAATTATAATAATTTGAGATTGTGACATGAAAATTTCGGATATGTAATTTTGTTCTTCGTTATTTGACCTTGACTTCGGATCATTTTTGGCAGCTAATTTGTTTGCAAAGCTACGATTGTGAAACTTCACAAGTAGTGCGAAACTGCTCTTATTGAGTTGGCCTCGCTTTCGAGTTGGCCTCGCTTTCGCTCCAAGAACTGAGTTTAGCCAGTTATATATAAACTCAACTGAGAAGTTGTTTTTAGTGACTTTTTCTAGACAACATATTCGTCTATCATTATGTCGGCTTCATATCAGCTCCTTATCAACTGCATTTTCAGGATAAGCTATTTTGAGACTGGTGAGGCATCAGGACAAATAATAGAAACTATTTTGTTGATAAATCGTTTTTTGCCTAATCAGTTTTTTAATTCAGTTTTCTGCAAAAAATTGTTTTGTGTTCTGTGTAGTATCAGTTCCACCGATATGCAAAAACAAATTAAAGAATCGGCGATTTTTTTAATTTTTTTTGTTTCAGTAAGATTAAGTAAAAACTAAAAGTAATTTTTCATTTTTCGATCTTTTGATAATTTCTCATTTTTATTCGTGATCGGAGTTCAATCACTAGTAATTTTCCCTGAGAATTTTGGATCTGTTTAAGTGCATTTTCTGTAGCATGATCTAAAATAATCGTTTCATGGCGTTTTACCCTTGCGATAAGCAAGGGTGTTGCAACCGGGTACAAGACTTTTCCGTAAACCACTGATTTCGCTTTAACTTGATTTATAATCAATTCAAAATCAATCATCTACCCAGCGCAATTGCTTGAAGCGAGAAATGCTTGTGACTCTTATTCGTCCGGGACCTGTATTTTTTTTTCAAAGTAGAAATTTCCTTTTTCGGACTCTCGTCCGTATGCTTTTTTTGTCGAGTTATTTCCTGTAGCACGGACTTTTTTTGATGGTGCAGCATTCTTCTAAATTTGTAAGGCACCACTGGTAGAGGTAATTGAGTCGCTTTAACTTGCTTTATAATCAATTCAAAATCAATAATCTACACAGCGCAATTGCTTGAAGCGAGAAAGGCTTCGAGTTTCTAGAACAGAAATTGATTGACGTTTTTTTTTTATATAAAACGGAGCCAATAAAAGACAATTGGATCAATAAGTAGTTTTTTTTGCTGGCAAATCTGAATAAAAAAATCCACTTTCAAAACTAGTCGTTCACGTTGTTCGTGACCTTAAAACGTTTGCTGTTCGATAGTGGAATTTGTCTTCATTTTAACAAAGGAAATGAATTGAACTTGAAAAGAAATCAAGACAAAACGCGAAAAGTCAAATCTGAGCCGGGGCAGACTTTTACTGGAAAAGAAATATAATTTGGCGGGGAGCGAACACTCTATCTTCTGCAAATGGAAGGGTAATCTATTGTATATTTAAATGCGGGCTTCACTATCTCGCCATGTTTAAGCTTTTTCAACGTATTATTTTTGCATGTTTAAACGTTATCGTATATTGCAATGCTTAAGAATTTTTTTTCGATTTTGCAATTTGATTTTGGTGGTTAATTTACCGAGTTTAAATTAAGCAACCCAATATCGAATTAGGGGTTGCGAATTTGGCCTCCAATTTTGAATGCCCGAATCGTTTTAGTTGACGAGATAAGACGATTTTTGAGATTTTTTCTAAAACTTTCAGAAATTTCAAATAACACAATAATTTACTAAACATGAAGTTCTCAACCCTGTAGTTGGGTGCTGTCAGGTTACTCTAAGGAGTTACAAATCTTGCCTCGAAATATGACTGTTCAAATCCTTGTAGTTTTCGAGATATGATGTTTTTTGTGATTTTTTCAAAAAATTTTCAGAAAACTTAATTTATTGTTATTTTTTTTAAAATCTGAAATTGCCAACCCTGTAGTTAGGTCCTGTCAGAGTACTCTCAAGGATCGCGAATCTTGCCTCCAAATAAGACTGCTCAAATCCTTGTAGTTTTCGAGATATGATGTTTTCAAAAATTGTCAGAAAATTTTGATTGTTTTTTTTTCAAAATTATAAATTCCCAACTTTGTACTTGGGTTCCGTCAAGGTGCTCTAAGAAGTTACAAATCTTGCCTCCAAATATGACTGTTCAAATCCTTGTAGTTTTCGAGATATGACGTTTTTTGTGATTTTTTCAAAAAATTTTCAGAAAATTTAATTTTTTGTTATTCTTTTTAAATCTGAAATTCCCAACCCTGTAGTTAGGTCCTGTCAGAGTAGTCAAGGATTGCGAATATTGCCTCCAAATATGGCTGCTCAAATTTTTGTAGTTTTCGAGATGTGACGTTTTTATGTGATTTTTTCAAACTTTTGAGAAAGTTTGAATTATTTATTTTTCAAAATTCGAAATTCCTAACGCTATAGTTCGGTGTTATCAGGGTACTCTGAAGAGTTGCAAATCTTGCCACATGCGACTGCTAAACGCGACTGCTTAAATGCTTTTAGTTTCCGAGATGTAACGTTTTTTGATTTTTTTCAAAATTTTTCAAAGAACTTATCTACAAAGAAATTCAAAAGATTTAAAACTACTAACTTCATGAAGATACAACCTTATTGTCAGCGTACACCCAGGCGGCTCAAATCTTGCCTCTCAATATGAATGATCAAATGTTTTTAGTTTCCGAGATAAGACGTTTTTTTTTTTCGGGAAACTTAGGTTTAAAAAAATTAACAAAATTTTGGATTCCTAACCTTTTAGTAGGGTGCTCTCAGGGACTCTCAGTGGTTGCAAATCTTGCCTCCAAATTTCTCCAGTGGCCCATTAAGTTCGAGATGACGCTTTTAAACTGGGAATTAAAAAAAATTTAAAAGTTAGACTTTACCAACCCTGTAATTGGGTGCAGTCAGAGTACACTAAAAGTTTGCAGATGTTGTTTCCAATATATGCGGTTTTTATGAGTTGTCGAAAGATTTCGAAGCACTGAAGGTGCGTTAAACGCTAATTAGAATTAAACGAATTTCTGAGTAATTTTTTTCTATTTTTAACACCTGTGAAAGCAAATGTCTTGTATTCAGGAACTAGACTATTTTAGTGAACAACCTATCTATCACTTCTGTAAGAATTTGAGGAGTGGCTTTTTTTACAACTTAGCAACTACAAGGCTGCTTCCTACATGGCCTCGAGGCTACACGGTCGCCTTCGTAATCTACGGTCTGGCTTGAATTTGAAATTTTTTGTATTTTTCGGGATTTCGTTTGTCTGCTTATCTTTTGTCGGCTTTTTGTCACATCGGAGAATTTTTTTGTGCTGTCAGCAGTTTTCATCGTAGATGCATGTGTTCTTGGTATAGTCTGAAATTTATTAAATTAATAGCCTTGGCTTTGTATATTTTGCTTGGTTTTCGTTTTTTCCTAGAAGCTTTATTTTGATGCCTTCATGGTTTTGGCTTGTATTTGTCGGCTAAATTACCTTATTTTGTGTCGTTTCAAGGGCAAAGAAATAAATTGAAACTTTTAAAGTTTTGAAACTTAATTGTTCAAAATTAAAACTTTAATGCTGACTTAAATGTTCCGCCTCTACGTAAAACTTAATTGCTCAAAATAATTTTTAACAACAATTATATGTGGTGTTTTTGTTCTCATTTTAATGGTCGTCTACCCACTTTTTGTCGGCTTAGGTGTCGCTTGGTAAAATCTAAAAGCTTATATAATACTGGTGGTTTTTTTTCTATAGCTTTTAACACTTTTCTATTCGCTAGCTTGTGTGAAACTTAGCCGAAATGAAGCTGCAAAACGTTTTATAATTTTTAAAATGTTTAAATGAAGACTGAAAGAGCGTAAGTATGGTTAGTCACTCCACCCATTCCGATAAATTTTTGTGGTACCCGATTTAACAATTAATTTATCTCCCTTGTTGAATACTCGAAAAATGAGCAACAGGTTCTATGATATTGGCGGGCTGTTCATCTTGATTTTTGTTTTTCAAATACATTCTTTTTAAGTTTTCGTAAGGGAGGCAAAACTCTGATCGGCATCTTGTCTTTTGATTATTTTTGACAGTTTTCGCATTGTAATTCAAAAGAAAATAAACAGCTTGCACAACGGGTTGGATTGTGTTAACAGCTTACTACTCCGTATAGTTTCATTTGTTTATTCAATTTCAGAGTCATCATGCTTCAGCTTGTGTCGGTGTGTGCGTTTGTTTTGGCGCTGACTTCCATGGCCTGTAAGTCAAGAGTCATGACCTTTTTTATTGATTAGAATTGCTAGTCTTGGAGTAAAACGTCTGGCTTCGAAGTAGCCACTTAGTAAAATTGGTTGAAAAAATCGTCGAATGAAGTAAAAATTTGAAAAGTACGACTATAATGTGATTTTTCTGTTATCTGGTCTTGGTATCTTTAGGCGCATCTTTTCTAGTTTCCCACCAACCTCGTAAAATCCCAATGTAGAGTTATTCATAACAATAAAAAGGAATAAAAATGGTTCATTTCAGTCGGTTTTCACGCTGACATGTTTTTATCCGTTTAGAACATGAAAGTCATTGTACCACACTCAAAAAATGTTGTTCCTGATAATAGATATACTAGCAGACAAAATTAAGCGCAAATTCAGGGTATTCTATAAAATTCATGTTTGCAATGTCCATTTTGACAACATTTACTTCGAATAGCAAATAATCAGAGCTACCAACTGTGAAAAACCAAGTAAAGATAGAGAAGAGTTAGAGAAGAAGCCAAGTAAAGATTTAGTAAACATTTGAAGAACCTTCTGGAGCGTATTTACACAAGCAAAGCTTGTGTTACAATATGAACTCTCTCTTTTCCAACCTAAGTCGCCAATGCTAAGTATATTAATACAGATTATTATATTACAAATAGCACTTTAGCCTCAAGGTATCATGGGTCTGTAGCGTAGAGGTATGGAAGGAGACCCGCAACAAAATAAGAGGGTTCGAACTTGGGCAGGGTCGGATGTTTTGAATGAACCTTTTCGTATACTAGTTATAATGCGTCCGCTCTATAAATTGAGGTATGTTAGTTGGTATATTTTTTTTTGAAATTGGCTGGTACTGCTGATGCGTCATAATTGGCTTGCGTCACTTAGCAATCATGTAGACTCATAATTGGCGTGTGTCACTTACGAAATTGTGTAGACTCAAAGTTTTACTCATTTAGTTTTTCCCAGTAGTGTTATCGGTCATATTTTTGCTTGTGTATACGAAAGGGAACTTCGCCTGTGTAAAATTTGATTTCAAAGACTTGCCAATGTATTCGGGGTCTGAAAATGCCAGATTCCCTCCGCTGCCCTAAGTTTTGCATCGTAGTGAACTCTTTCTCGAGAAAGAGGATTAAACAGTTTATTCATGCGGCGTGAAACATTCTCAGCGAGAATTGATATAACCAGTGAAATTTGTACTGAACTAGGCATAGAAGTATAAATGATAGTTTCATAGAGGGTACCTCAGATCATTTACTTCTGTTCTATGTAAAGATTTTTCTGAAATTCGAAGTTATTGTTGTCCAAAATGGGAATGGAAAACAGGTATTTTACACTTCTGGTCAAAATTGAGCGCAAATTCAAGGTTTTATTTATTTTCAGGGCTCTTTTCCAGTTCCCCCTTTCAAATTCAATTTTGAAAAGTCTATTTAACGTTATCATTATGCAATGAAATTTGGTGTGGTGAACAAATCGACAATTCTGAACAGATTTGTTCTTCATACTTTACTGCGTAACATCACGCATTTAGCCGCAATAACACGTAAAACAAACATAAAACTCGGTATTTTGAAGGGGGAACTGGAAAAGAGCCATTTTCTGTTCACTTAATCGCGCTGAGATGTTTTATTAGTTTTAGAACACCAAAAGTCATTTTAATTAAGCTTTCGTTAATCAAAGGGGGGACAGGATATCAAATGGGAATAAAAAAAATCAAATCTTAAATAGGTTTTCGTTAATTGAAGGGGGACTGGAAATCAAAAGGGGGTAATCAAAGGCCGTATATTCCAGTGCATCGTTTTTCATTTGTATATGTGTGCTTGAGGGTGCGATTCGTGTGTGGGCGGGAAAGTGAATCCGAAAGTGTTTGTCTCGAGTGACGCAGTCCTCACTCCTGACTCTGTGGTGGTAGTGGGCGAGTTCACAGTGCAGTGCTCAAACAGGCCACAGGTGAGTTTAACAGGAGATTAAGGTAAATTTTCTATCTTCGTAGCCTATTTCGAAAATTTTTCCAGTTTTGTAGCCCCCGGTCCTGCACAATGCAGGGCCAACCGTGGGGGAGGGGTGATCTCGTCCATTTTGCCTAAGCCGCTCCCACCTCTATTTTCAGCTCCCTCACCGTAGGTTTTTAAGATTTGTCGCAGTATTCAATGAAAACTTATTTTGCAAGAACTCAAATTGGAGCAAATGATCTTTTCGGCGATACTTTCTCAAGGATATTCTGTTCATTTGTTTGGTGAAGATGTCGAGTTTCAGAAAAAAAGAATGCATTAAGTCATTCAAAAACTGATCAAAGAGAACTTAATTAAAAGAAATGTCTTGGTCGGCGTTTTTTCTGTTTTTAAGGACGATTAACCACCACCATTCCTTGATTAACATACCGTTGACTTTGCAAAGATAATCTAGAATGTAAAGTTAAGGTAATTTGAGCATATTTTGTTTGTTTCAGAGTTTGAACTTCCTGGCGGAGATGGAAGGAGAGTTTGTACCTGTGACCAAATCCATCGACGGAGAGTCTTACCAGGTGCCACTAGCGACGAGTTTGGTTTAATGGGGGGAGGGGGTTTGTTCTCTTTGGTAATATTTTAAGACTTCCATTATCGGCTGACCGACCTTGAAATTTTTCTGAAGTTGCCTGCGTTGCCAATAGATAGTAATTTTGAGGGAAGCGTGCGCCAAAAACGGTCTTACTTTTTGGTCAAACTTTTCCAGGAAATGTGGTTAAAATAGATTCTGTATAGTGTGAGGGCTCCGAAAATCAATTTGGTTGACCTAAAAAAAATTGACCTAATGTTTTTGAAAATCTGGCCATCCCCCCCCCCCCCGAGAATATCCTAGATCCGCACATGCCAGGTACGCATAAAGATTAGCAAGAATAAGCTGGGTTGATGTGTAATTTTTACAATGATCTGACCAGGGGCGGATCTAGGATTTTCTAGAGGGGGGGGGGGGCGGGTTTTTCAAAAAGTTCTCGAAAATTTTGTCGACTTTTTTTTTGGGTCGACCAAGATAATTTTCCGAGCTCTCCCGAAGCACTAGAAAGACTCTGTTTTGGCCAAAATTTCTGCACCGTAGGCAAATTTTTGGAAAAAAAAAACAAGTAAAAAAAGACGTTTTTAGGCTTTTTGGAAAATTTTGACAAAAAATCGCGTTTTTTCGGCGCGCGCTGCCCCCTAAAAAAAATAGTTTAAATTGGCGCCAAAGGCGCCTTTAGAAAAGTTTTTGGGCCCGTCAGCCAAAAATGGATATCACAAAATAGTAAAAAGGGGGACAACAAAATGGATATCACAAAATTAGTATATAGTGACGCCAAATTAGTATATATTGGGTCCGTCAGCCAAAAATGAATGTCACAAAATAGTACAAAGGGGGACCACAAAATGGATATCACAAAATTAGTATATATTGGCGCCTTTACATAAGTGACTGTGGTCCGTCAGCCAAAAATGGTCCGTCAGCCAAAAATTTTTGTGTCCGTCAGCCAAAAATGGATATCACAAAATAGTAAAAGGGGGAACCTTTGGGTCGGCAGGGGGTCGAGTCCCTGAGACGGGCGTCCCCCCTAAACCCGCCCATGGATCTGACCACGGTCAATTTTCTAAAAAAAATTATTATGAATCAGAAGAAAGTTTTATCATGAATATTTGTGTTTTTCGTGCAATTATTTGGCTTCCACCGAGTAATTAAACAACACAAATCATTTAACTTGAAATTAAAGTCAGTCGCGTTGGTTTGACAGATGTCTTTAATGATAAGTGAATTGAATTGTAGAGAAAACAATGAAAAGGCTTCATATTATATGCCAAATGGTTCCTTGCATTCATTTGTGATACTGGTATTTGTGTGGAAAAAGCACACCTGATTCCAAGTTTTTTCCTCGCCATTGGTGATCGGAATAATGAATCTGAAATTCAGAGAAGTAAATCAGATTTGAATTTTAAACCATTGGTGATTATGGTGCTTTATTTTTGTGTAAGAACAGTTTTGTTTGTCTATCACAATTTTTTCGAAGGTTCGTCCAGGGTGACCACTCGGTCGTTAATCAGCGACAGGTCTCTAAAAGGTCGCTACTTCTCGACAGGTTGCTAAAAGGTCGCTACTTCTGTGGAAGTCGCTATTTTGGTGTGTACTACTTGTTTGCTTAATTACTAGTTTATACATTACCAAATTTTTCCAGCTGCCATGGGCAAAGCTAAACTGACCCAGGAAATTTTGAGCGAGTTCCCAATTTTGAGCGAGTTCGCTGAGGCGCTAAATTGAGCTTACGTAAAGTCACTAAAACGTCGCCATAAGTACTTTTCTATGAGGTCAAAACTTTTATTTCATAAAGAAAAAAGGGTTCGTCTCGTTGTCAGACGTTCGTCTCGTTGTTAGACGAAGTTTTTAAAAGTGAATAATACGCAAACAGAATGAAACAATCAATTTTATATTGAGGCAGAAAGATATACGGGCAGTCTTTTCCGGTTTCGTTTGGGTTATTAACGCTTTTCCAACTGAACGCGTACCAATTAGCCCATTCAATTACCTTGTGACCTCCATTGGTTTCAGTTTTCATGTGAACTCTTGATGATGCGGCTAATAATTGAATGCTTCGTTTCATACATGATTTTGAACGTAAATGTTAGTTTATCTTAAATCTTTCTGAAAGAAAGTTCAAGTTTGAGGGTGCTTTGTTTCTTTGTGGGTTTTTCAACAAATTTTAATTCATTTTTTTCCCGCTTAATTGCCCAATTTACATTTTGAGTTCTATATGTTTGAGTGCAATGTACACGTTTAGTTCACTGTGACGAGAAAGCCAAAACAGCTGTCAGTTGGAGTGCACACTGTTAATCTGTACGACGAACAAGCCACTGCTCAGCTCAGAAAGGTATCACGATCAGCTACTCCTTTTAAAAAGCTTGTTTTTTCACTATGCTTTGAGCACTTCAATCTCACATCAAAACTCTCAATCTATTACGGTTGTGGTGTAAGCAATTGCCATCGCCCATGAAGGGTATTCAGGATCACCCATGAGAAAATCATTATCATTTCTTTTCGGAGATTTAAGTAAAGCTCGAAACCGTAGATTTTTTAGGCTTTCTGGATGCATAAAAAGTACATAGTAAGTATTTTTGAGTCGTTAAACGTTGTTCAGATTCTTATATACGTCGTGATGATTTTTTTTCAGGAAAAGTCTTAAAATTTGTTCAAGCTCAAATTTATATTTTCGCGATTTTTGATTTTTTAAGTTCACTTCATTTCTGTTGTTAAAGGAAGGCAAACTCCACTATCGAAAAACAAAATTGGAGAGATCACGAAAACGTGATCGACTTCAAGGTTGAAATTGGAATTAAATTTTCAAATTTCTCAGCGAAATTTAAGCTATACTTATTGATCCAGTTTTCTCAAATTTGTTTAATTTTTCAAAAATGTGACAATCATAAAGTTTTCTAGAAATTCAAAGAGATTCAAGGGCTTCTATTTTCTTTGAAACTCGAAAATGAGATTTTTTCAAAAACGACTTGGCGTGGTTTTAAAAGAACCTTCACTTGGTTTCAAATTTGAATTTTCAGCCAATTAATATCGCCTGTTTTACTCGCTGCATTAAGCAAAGCAATCCAATATAATTGATGGGGTTGAGGATTTTAACTTGGCATTTTTAGAAGGAATAATGTTAACTTAATCAATTATGTTTTATAGCCATGCCTGGACCATGGTTGCAGCGTTTCCTAAAGTTTCTGGATGATTGAAATTTTACGTTTCATTACGTTGGGTTTCGTAACTTTTTCAAAGACTGAAACAAAGCTTCTAATGATTTTTAGGAATAGCTTATTGCTATTATAGTTTTCCATTTTCTCTCAAATGACTTCTTACTCAAGTTTCATATTATTGTTCGGGTGAGTTGTTTTTTATTCGGGTGTGTTGTAGTTTTTTCTTTTATACTTTTTGTTTTCAATGCAACATCAGATATCACAGCTACCTATATCATTGGTTTGAGTGATGTATCATGTTAAAGCCCTTTCAGTCGTTATTTGAATCAAAAAAATACCCAGTGTCGAGAAAAACCGCTTTGAAGTTTTTGGTTTTTCGTATAATTCTTAAATTACTTCTTATGGCTGAAAAAACTCAATTTTTCCAATTGAAAACTAGTTTTTAAAGCTATATTTGCCACTTCCCTGGCAAGAAAATTTTTTTAAAAAACATTAAAAAATTTTGTTAAAAATGATTTGATTTATGTTTCCGTTTTTGTTTGTTTGCCTTTTTTTGAAGACAACTGTTGTCAATTTACTAACTTTTTGAGCATGTGTGTAGTTTTATTATCACAACACGTACGAAAAACGACTCTAATCTGAAGAACTTAATAATTTGAAGAACTTTTATTTGTAGTTTTTATGAATATGGTTTTTATGCACAGGAACCGGCTATCCTTTTTGTACTTTGATTTTAGCTAGGTTTTAGTAAGAGTTGACGATTCTGATTTTTTTTTGCAAATGGTTGTTCACTTGACTCACAGATGCTGGCTTGGGAAACAAAAAATTGTCTTTCATTGAGTATGCGGTGAACCAACGTCAATTATAGTTTTTACTTGTTCTAGGCGCAAGCAGCCGGCCAGAGTGTAGGAGAAGCTATTAGGTCTGTGGAGCCCACTTTCTCAGTGCCAGTCGACTACCAGGGACCCAGTCGGGGTCTCATTGTGCCCAGTGAGCTGGTAGCTCTAGGAGGCGGAATCAGTCTCAGTCTGATTGCAATCCACGCCAGGAAAACCATATCCAAGTGAAACCATGAATTGAGTATAAGACATCACCAGGCCATGACACGACACGTGCGGTCATGACCAATCATCATGTACCCGACATATGCTTTATGTGCTTCGTCTTATGTAAACGTTTCGCATAATTTAAAATTATAAATCCAATTAAAAGTGCCTAAATTGGGTTCAACGGTGGTATCGTAGTCTGTAATTTTTCATTTTTTCAAACTCATGCTGCTTAATAGCAATTGTTAGAAAAATGGAAGTGTAAAGAATTGTTAAACATTAAGTCGCATTATTTGGACGCATTACTTGTGTATCGATGGCTTCAGGTTTCTAAATGTTGAAAAAAGCAGACCAAAATATTTATGAAAGCTAATTGGTTTCGGTTTTGTACGTGTTTTTGGCAGCGTTTGACTTGATAATAAAATATGTTTAATTTAGAGCAGCGCAAGCTATATAATTGAAGGTGTTGGCTTATTGTTGAATGATTGTGCTGTAAATTTGTTGAAATATAAGATATTGATAAGTTTGTTTTTTGATCAACGAAGAGTTTTCAACCATTTTAGTTTTGCTTGAAAATACCAAACACGGCCGATCTTGTAAAAGTGTGTACGTTTTTGCGCTTGCAAGAACATGTTTCTTGTAATCGGGAACTTATAAGACATTGTGAAGTTGCTTTATCAGTGAGTCTTATGAACTTCGAAACTTCTTCGCACTTGCCCTAGAGGTGACGCGGGTGCATTTGTACCCTAAGTTCTGGTGCTTGAGTCTCTACCGGACATTGTGTTTTTTTCCGGAATGTATAAAGTTGAAAAAAATGTCTGGGAAAAATTGAATTGTCGGGTTTTCGTTTGCCTGCTTATGTTTTGTCGGTTTAGTTGCCACATAGGGGAATTTTCTTGTGATGTCAGCAATTTTCATCGTAGATTCAAGTGTTTTTCGTATAGTACTAATTTCAAGTAATTTTCAAAATTAATTGCCGTGACGCATTTTTTCGTTGGTTTTCCTTATTGTTTTTTCCTATAACATTTTTTGGCCTAATTTTTTTTCGGTTTTTGTTTTATTGGCTTAGTAATCTTGTTTTGTGTCGCTTCAAAGGCAAAAAAATTGATAGATTTCATAGTTAAATTGATAGATTTTATATCAAAATTTCCTAGTTTTAAAACTTAACTGCTCAAACTTTTTCTGACAGCAGTTTCTTTTGGCATTTTTTGTTTTCGTCTCAATGGGCGTCTTGTTGTCGTCTTAGTGGCCGCTCGATAGTTACCAAAAGGCTGATTTGATACTGGTGGTTGTGTTTTTTCGATGTTTTTCTGAACCGATTGTTTTTTCAGTTTTTTTCCCTAAATTAATTTTAATGATTTTGTCTTTTCCATCTCTTTCTATTCACTAGCTTGAATTGCTGAGCTTGCGTTGTATCGCATGTGATGAAAATCTGCGAATAATCTCTGTGTAAAATGATTAATTTTTTTACTGGTTAGCAAAGTATTTCAAACCAGGTAATAAATTTTTCTAATTAGTTTTTGAAGAGGATTCAGCTGTAGGAAATAGTGCACATAATTTCTTCAGACAGTTTGTAATGGAGTTTCAGGTCACTTAGCGTATCTAGTTTTTTTGTCATGGTCTTTCTTGGCTATTGTTTTGCGTAAAAATTCTGGAAGATGAATTTTTCAGGTGTTTTCAAAATGAGGAAAGCATAAATATACTGAAAATATATGTACAAAAGGAAAGCTTTCTCCTCTGAATTGAACTGCGGTAAAATGTTTTTTTTTTATTTGGCAAGTTGAACTATTAGGATTAGACTACAATTTTACTACAGTTCGAGCTTTTATCTAAATTTTCTTAATTTTTAAAGTTTTTCAAATCAGTAACAATTTAATTATAAGTTAATTACTGAGCTCAAGTGTGAAACTCACATTAGTCATTCGAAATTCTGTTTTTTGATTTGAAGTTCTGGCTTTTGACTTTTTTTATCTTTTAAAATTCACTTCTTTTTTTTCGCTGGAAGAAAATCAAACTCCACAATCGAACAGAGAAAGTGGAAAGATCTCGAAAAACGTGATCGACTTTTTGTTTCGGAAGTATTATTTAATTTTTTAGATTTCCCAGCAGAATAAAATTGTACATATAGTTCCTGTTTTCTTAAACTGGGCTAATTTAATCAGAAAAGTCTCAAACATAAAGTGTTCTAGAAATTCAAAGCGCGATAAAGCACTATACTTTTTCATTTGAGTTTCGAAAACAAGTCTATCGTTTTTTCTTTGCGTTATTCATGATTCTTTTCCAACTGTCTGTTGGCTGTTTTTGAATTATTTTTTTTTGTAAAAAATGTTTTCGGATCACGTTGTGTGTTTTCTACAAGATGTATGCGGTATTCGGGGCTACAATGTTTTATAGATTTTCAACGCTAAAAATGTGTTTTTTATTGTCAGAAATCGTCGTGCGAGTGGTTTCACGAAATTTGTGTCAATCAACCTGTTTTCTTGAAAGAATTGTACTATCTGTTTTTTTGCCGTTTTTCTGAACAATTTTAGCTCCAACTACTCGAAAAAGAAGGAAAAAAACTTTTGCCGAGGGTGATTGTTTTTACTCAGAATCAAACAGTATGTTGGTATCCTGTTGTATTCTTATCAGATGGTTTAGTTTCCAAAAGGTAATTCAGAAAATAGCCGTCAACAAAAAAGTTTGATTTCCCGGTGTTTTAGGTTAATCTGTTTCGGACCCGGGTTTCAGAGAAGGGCTTGCACAACTGTGGATTTCGGATTTTCGCTGTTATTTTCCATCTTTTCAAGCCAATTGTTTTTCTAATTTTTGAAAGCTTTCTCGTAACCCAAAAAATGGTTCTGGAATTTTCCAAAAAATTGATTTTTTTTTGCTCTGGTATGTTTTGATTACTGTGTTTACTCTTGAGATAGCAATCGGGTACTAAATTTTTCCCCGTAGATCAGGCGCGGATCTAGGAATTTCTCGAGGGGGGGGGGGGGCGGATTTTGTCGACCATTTTTTTAGTCGAACAAATTGATTTTCTGAGCTCTCCCAAACCACTATAAAGACTCTGTTTTGGCCAAAATTTCTGCACCGTAGGCAAATTTTTGGAAAAAAAACAAGTAAAAAAAGACGTTTTTAGGCTTTTTGGAAAATTTCGACCAAAAAATCGCGTTTTTTCGGCGCGCGCTCCCTCCACAAAATTAGTGTAGATTGGCGCCAAAGGCGCCTTCAGAAAAGTTTTAGGTCAGTCAGCCAGAAATGGATATCTCAAAATAGCACAAAGGGGAAACCCTTTGGGTCGGCAGATGGGCGAATCACTGAGGGGGGGGGGGGGAGGCGTCCGCCAAGCCCCCCCCCCCCTAAATCCGCTACTGCCGTAAAAAATTTTGTGCACAGGAATTAACTCCTGGTCTCTTCTGCTGGAAAAACTTCAACAGACACTACTTTTTACATATTCGTTTCATTCGAAATTTGCTTTTTGTGTTGGTTGTCATTTAACAGCTCGATTTAAAAAAAAAAATTCTGGTTATTTTTTTTCCTTTTTTCTCTTTTCCTTCTTTTAGGTCTAATAGGTTTCGGCTAATATTATATCGGCTTAGTTGGACGTATATTGCCTTGACATTGACCTGAATTTCCCGGAAATCGAGTAGACCTGAATTGCGCCTATTTTCCAAAAGTAATTCCGAAGAATTTTTTTGCTGTTTTATGGCTGAACCTCGACTTTGCGTACGTGTGAAAACGTATGTTGATATTGCATTATTGTTATCTGTTTCAAGCGCCGTTTCTGTTAAGAATCAAGAATGCTGAGTCTTGCTTCGGATTTTCCAAAGAGATATAGGGATTAAATGGCCAATTCCTTCATAATATGAACTTGACCTCAAAAGTGATGCACTATATGGTTACTGTAAAATTAAGATCGAATCAAATCACTAGACTTGATTCAGAAGTTTCCCACACTACCTTCTTGTAATTAAGTGACAAATATCATACAGTTCCCACATTAATGGCTATTTTTATCATCCTTAATCAATTCATCTCCCGGTAAATAAACTTCTGCCTCAACTAGCTTATAACAGATGTCGGGAAAAAACCAGGCCGATTAAAGAACACGTTTAGTAGAATCAAGAATCGATTATTACTTCCTTGGTAGGTTAGGTAATTGTTAAATCAGGACTCAAACATCAAGCATAGATCAAATTGCTCTATCTGCAGCTTTAAATTTGACTTCTCTTCTGTTTTAAATGAATTTCCTCTAAAATTTTGAGCCTAAAATGGACTGTGTCATCGTTTTCGTCAATTGAGATATTGACCTGTTTTGTTAGAACCAAATTGATGATCAATCAATCACTACATATACAATTTGTACTACTAAGATCACACTAGTGTCACATATCTTCTCTTTCAGCTTTGGAATTCGTATTGAACTTGATTGAACTAAAAACGTGGTAACCAAGATCAAAACAATAAATATGAAACTTCATTCATAATTCAATAGTTCCGTGCTTCCTTTCTTCTGTTACAATTTTTCTACTTTTATTTCGGTGACCGCATAATTTTTGTAGATTTGGAAGCGTTATCGTATTCTTCTTAGTCACTATTTGTATATTAATGAGATATTGAATTTTCCATAGTTACCAAACGAGCAAAGTATTAACTTGCGGTTGTGGATTTAGATGGCGGCTTTTGACTTTTCGTACCTAATGCGCTTTTCGACTAGATGTGCTTCAATCGAAGTCGGATGTTAGTAATAAAAATTTATTTCGCTTGATGAAGTTGATTTCTACAAAATTTTGATTTTCACAATTGTTTAAGCGAGTCTTAAAGTTTGTGCAAAAAGATGCATGTAATACCGAAATTTGGGAAATATCCATTATCTTGATTATGATCTACTCTTTCAAATTAAGTTTGTCTAACGTTTTCAATCATTTCGGTTTTTGCTGTGATACGGCCCATAAATATACAGGTGTATCCGGTTTTTGAGCAAGTAGCACGGTGTTTTGACTACAGTGCAGTTACTATTGCAAAAAATAATTATATTTTTTTGAATAAGCGAATTTAAGTCATTTCCTCTTCATGGTGGTAAATGCGGTTGAATAGCAAAAGCTTGATATTTTTCCGTTACTGCGAATAACTTTGATATACCCTTTCAAAATCATAATTACGATTGAATGGGGCTGCAAAAATGATAATACTTGCGATTATGCAGTTTCGTAAGATCAGATACAACAATTTTGTGCCGTATACTAAAAAAGACTCATCATTAGAAATGGAAACCTAATCAAAAAAGTATGCACTAATGGTGGGCCTCAAGTTTATTCTGACATAGATAAAGCTTGTGTTCAAGTTTGTTTTGAAGTGGACTTGTCAAAAACACTAGATGCAAGATTGTATGATTTTCTAGGTTCGTATAATGTGTCGAATGGTAGACTCAACATGACGCATAAAAAGAAAAAGGCCCCGAACAACCACGGCTCACACAAGAACAAAAATAGCAACAACAAACAAGCAAACAACCGATCACAACAAAACAATAACAACAACAACAGTAGCAATAAAAACGAGGACGAATCTTCTACAAACCAGGATTCGTCTCAACTGTGTGAACATTACGACAGAGCAATCAACTCTACCTGTTTTCGGAGGGCAATAAATCAACTGCAGTCTGTGCAGTGTTGTCGAAAAAGTCCCGCCCATTCACGAGTGAACAAAAAGAACTCGGGTGGGGGCAACGGGAGTGGTCTGACTGCGTGTCGAAATGAGACGAGGTTGGGCAATGAACTTTTCGCTTGTACTCAGTGTGGAACTGTAGTCTGTCTCAGTTTGACCCCGGAAAAAGGCAAAAGTGAAAAGGTCAAAGGTGACTTCAAAAAGGACATCGAAGAGAACACTGAAAAATTTATTGAAGAACCGACACTATCTAAAAAAGAGGGAGAATATTTAGAAAAAGGAGAAATTGACGAAATTTTGAACGAAAAAGAAAAGAAGGAAGAATTAAAAGCGGATAAAGTAATCGAAAAAGAGGAAACACCACAAGGAGTTTCGCACGCACACGAGCATTTCGCGACCCCTCGTTCCGATTGTCACGCGTTATATCTGCGACTTAGAGGCGACCTACTCTACTGTATTGTGTGCGAGAAGAGCCTCTCAGTACAGGGATCAAAAATAATGTTGTTAATGTCACTCGTGAAAAAAGCGAAAGGCTGCTGGTCTGTCGATGTTAAGAACTCCTTCGAGAACGACGATACATACTCCAAGCAGAATCAGAGTGAAACTGCTGGCGGCGGCAAGAAAAACAAAAGCAGCAATGGTCAAAGTGGTCCTCAGAGCAATAACAAAGGTCCGAAGGGAGGAGGTGGAGGCGCTGGGAAAGAATTGAGTCTAAGAAGGGAGGTGCGAGGTTTCTCCAATTTGGGCAACACCTGTTTCTTCAACTCTGTTGTGCAAAATATAATGCACACAACGTGGCTCAGGCAGGTCGGTAGCAGAAGAAATGGTTTTCTTTTATTAGTTATCCCCTATTACGGGGGGTGGCGTTAGTTGGTTCTTGTGTTCAAAATTGACGAGCCTTTTTTGATTTATTATCTTAGAGGGGTAGATATTCGTTGCTTGGTTGCAAAGGTATGTGTGAAATAAATCTATTATATATTTAACTGCGGGCTTCACTATCTCGCCATGTTTATGCTTAAACGTATTATGTTCGCACGTTTAAGCTATATCGTATATTGCAATGGTTAAGATTTTTTTTTGATTTTCCAGTTTGATTTTAGTGGTTATTTCACCGAGTTCAACATAAGCAGCCCAATATTGGGATGCTGTCCGGATTCCCCAAGGGGTTGCGAGTTTGGCCTCCAATTTTGAATGCCCAAATTGTTTTAGTTAACGAGATAAGACGATTTTTGTGATTTTTTCAAAAGTTTTCAGAAAACTCAATTAACATAATCATTTACAAAACTTAGTTCCCAACGCTGTAGTTGAGAACTGTCAGAGTATCATCAAGGGTTGTGAATCGTACCTCCAAATTGACAGCTCAAATCCTTGTAGTTTTCGAGATCTGTTTTCGAAATCTTGCCTCCAAATATGACTTTTCAAATCTTTGTAGTTTTCGAGGTATGAGGTTTTTTGTGATTTTTTAAAAATTTCAGAAAATTTATATTATTTTTACTGCAAAATCTGAAATTCCCAACCCTGTAGTTGGGTCCTGTCAAAGTACTCTCAAGAGTTGCGGTTCTTGCCCTCAAATATGACTGCTCAATTCTTTGTAGTTTTCGAGATTTTTTTGTGATTTTTTCAAAAATTTTAAGAAAACCTAAGTTATTATGATTCTTCAAAATCTGGAATGCCTAACCCTGTAGTTAGCTCTTGTCAGACTACTCTTACGGATAGCGAATCTTGCCTCTGAATATGACTGCTCAAATCCTTGTAGTTTTCGAGATATGACGTTTTTTGTGATTTTGAAAAAAAAAGTTTCAGATAATTTAAATAAATTGTTTTTTCTTCAATTTAAATTCTTAACATTGTAGTTGAGTGCTGTCAGGGTACTCTCAGGAATTACAAATCTTGCCACATGCGAATGTTCAAATGCTTTTAGTTTCCGAGATGTGACGTTTTTTCAAATTTTTCAAAATTTCTCAAAGAACTTAACTACAAGGAAATTCACAAAATTTGAAACTACTAATTTGATGCTGTGTCTTCATCAAATTAGTTTTTTCAAATTTTATCCTATTGTCATTGTGCACTCAGGCGTCTCAAATCTTGCTTCTAAATATGAATGCTCAAATCCTTTTAGTTTCCGAGATAAGTCTTTTTTTATGATTTTTTTTCGGGAAACTTAGGTTTAAAAAAAGTCACGAAATTTGAAATTCGCAACCTTATAGTAGGGTGCTTTCAGGAACTTTCAATGTTTGCAAATCCGGCCTCCAAATTTCTCCAGAGGCCCATTAAGTTTTCGAGATGACGCGTTTATGTCTTTTCAAAAGGGGAATTTAAAAAATTAAAAAGCTTGAAATTACCAACCCTGTGATTGGGTGCAGTCATAGTACACTAAAAGTTGGCATGAAAGTTTAGTTTTTCATGAGTAGTCGAAAAATTTCGAAGCACCGGAGGTGCGTTAAACACTAGCACGAGTTAATTCTGATAAACTAGCAAGTGTAGCAGAGGGATACTTGGATGTATAGATCCATAATATAATTATTAAAGGAAAAGGAATAGTCAATAACGTTTTGGGTAAAACTAATGAATTTTGTTTTCGAGTTTCTCGAAAATCATGATATTTTGTCTTCTAGTTTCTCATTACCCTTGCGATAAGCAAGGGTATTGTAATCTGGACAAGACTTTTTCCCGTAAACAACTTTGTACCTAGAATTCGCACGTGTTTTACTGCAGAGGTAAATGTAGTATGTTCATGTTAGGCATACGCCTTGTGTGCCTGCTATGCGAGCTTTTAAAAGTGTTTTTGAGCCAATTTTTTCGGCGCTGGAGTGTCGGCTTTAATTCCGTCGTCTCAGTTTCCGTATGATTTTTTTTTTCAATTATTTTTTGTTGGTTTTTATAAGAATGGTTGAAAATTAAAATGAATTAAATTTAAAATGCTGAGTTTTTTGATTTTTTGGTTTGAGTTTTCAGTTTGCACAATAACTTTGGTTTTGACCTACTATGCTTTTGTTTGTTCAATCAGCTGTTTTTATCATATTTTTCTGGTGTAGGTAATTGAGTTTATATTTTCGCAGTTTTTTGTTTACTTATTTGTTTGAAAATACAACAATTGAAAGTATGTTCTCATTGCTTTTTAGCCAATATTGTTTTGAAAAGTATTGTTATTGTTCAGATAATTGTTATTGTTTCAAATATAATTTGCCTAGGCTTTTGAAAAATTGAATAATATTGTTAGGTATTTATGTCTCTCATTTACTTATTTAAAAAGTATATCACAGTTAGTGGTTTTTGTTTCTTTCATCAATGCAGTTTGCCAATGGTTCGATTGCGTTTCTTCGGATAAAATGTTTCTCCAAGAATTTTGTAATTTGATTTTTTGATAACTTTTTTTTCTTACAATTTTTGCATCGAAAAAAATGCAAAGCTCTGCTTCGCCTCTGTGTTGTATTTTGGCGCGAAAGAAGCAAAGCAACTTTTGAATGTTTTGCTTGAATAAAGATTAAAAAATTTAAAAAAGGTTATTGTCAAATTTTGTATGTATTAGATGTAGATTTTACATTTTTATAATTGTTCACTAGAATTTTTTATTTAGAAGTTAATATACTTAACCTCATGTTCCTGTTCGTATAGGTTATGGTTCAGTTGGCAGAAACCAGGAGTATACGTCTGGACGGCGAAGGAGACACCCCTCTCCAGTTTGAATCACTCGGAAGCATGAGCGAAGCCCTGGCTCAACTTTACACTTCCTACTTCAACGAACAGTCCTCGTCGTCAGGACTCCCTCAGACTCTGTCGCCCAAGTCCCTTTTCCATAGTCTATGCCAATTCTGTCCCATGTTTAAGAGCAGGGAACAACAAGACTCGCAGGAGATGTTTTCCTCTTTGGTTAATGCTCTTTTCGAAGAAGACGAGAAAAGGTAAAAAGTAGTTGAGCTCAGTACAGAATTGGAACTAACTGCAAAAAAAAAACGTTGCTGTTATATCAGCATTTCGCCTTTTTTTTTCAGTCGAAATAGCCAGTTTCTGTGTTAATTTTGTCTTAAATTGGTGTTCAATTGAACTTTTCTAATAGAAATTTGTTAATGTACTAATGCCAAATTTTTTTAAAAGCTTTGAATGTGGGTTAGAGCTCCGAATATAATTTAGAGTCAAAGATGCAATTATGCAGCGACATGGAATCGAGGAAGATTCCAATAAAGAGAAAGAAACAGCGGAAGGAAAAATAAAAAAGAAAGGAGTTGACGGAGAAACGAGAGCTGCTATCAAGCGAGAGTGGAAACAAGCCCAAGCATTGAACCCTGTGAGTGCTGTATTCGGAGGCATGTTAACTAAATACATCAAGTGCAACCACTGTTGCAACATCAATACCAAATCAGAACCTTTTATCTCCTTATCATTGTCCCTAAACACGACCAACTCAGACGCCAATGGATCCTCTGGCCACTCAATCACATCTTCATCAGGGAAAACGAGAAAACCGAACTCGAACAGTGTGTCCAAAAATGAGAAAGATGAAGATAGCACTTCTATTGCATCATCAGGAGCCGCTTCAACCAGAAGAAGAAAAGCCCTATCTGAGAACAAACCGGCTCCCGAAGTAGACTTGCCGCCACTGATGCCGACAGAAAAGAAAAGTAAGGCGAAAATGGGGAGGAACTTAATATTGGGGAGTTTTAATTTTTTTGTTTTCCTTACAAAATCTGGTACCAAAAATAATCATCGGAATGGATCAAGTGTCAATTGATCGGTGGATCATTTATCATATTAAAGCCCTTTCATTCGTGGTCCGAACTACTTGAGAAAAACCGGTTTGAAATTTTTGAATTTAAGTTAAATTTTGAGCAATTCAAGCGAGTCTCATTTCGAACGTTTATTGATAATTAAGGCTAAAAAACTGATGTTAATAAATGAAAACTTGTTTTGTAAGCTTCATATGGCGCTTCCTTGGCAATAAAACTTTTCAAAAAAAAACATAAAAGATATAGGCAAAAAAGTTATTCTTGCCAATTATGCCTATTTACTAGCTTTATGCCAATTATGCCTGATTTACTAGCTTTATACGCCTTTGTATAGTTCTCTTATCACGCCAAGCACAAGAAACGGCAGTAATTTGCAGGGAAAAAAAAGAAATAACTTTTTTTTGTAGTTTTATGAATGTGGGCGGAACATTTTGTGGTAATTGCAGAGCAACCGGAATTATTTTTTTATCCGAAAAATTTTTTCATTAAGTGATCCTTTTTTCAGCGACACGGAATGATTGCCTCCAGAAATCCCCGGCTATGTCCGATGTTGCAGGCGTGAAAATTGCAACAAGGGTGAAAAACAACTGCTCCTCATCAGAAGAAGACGATGACCCCGACCTGATAATGCCAGATGACATATTCGGCTTAGAAGATCAATCCACCGCCAATGATACCACAACCAGCGAGGTATTTCTACCTGAAACCCCGCCGAACCCCAAAACTGATCATTCTCAGAATCCGAGCGAAATTAGGCTTAAGGAATCTTGCAGCGCAGAGGAGCAGTTAGTGATACAAATAGATAACTTGAGTTTCAATGAACCAGATAACAAAGTCGATGACAGCGAATCATCTGGATTAACAAGTCCCCAAGATTCTCCGGAATTTGGTGAACGAACAAGCGGTAGTGGTAATGAATGTAATAGTAAAGAAGTAGAGAAAAGTGAAAGTGACTTGGGAACCGGATCGGAGAAAGAGTCTTCGCGGAGCAGAGGTTCGAATGCAAGCAAGCAAGCTACTTTATGCAGCGTCGACAGCGCCTATGCGTCACAGACATCGCTGACAGGTGTCGGAGGCGGCAATGCGTGCTCGGACGCGGCTAGTGCTAGTAATGCAGAGAGTGTGTCTAGCTGTGACGTTGAGAGGGACACTGCGGGATCGTCGGCGTCAATGCAAAGAGTAATTGTATCTCGCGAGGAGTCGTTTGGTGATGATATTAATATTGAAAAAGACGATGAAGAGGAAGATACAAAAGTGGATGATGCTACTGAGTGTGGAAGTAGCAGTGAGAATCTGTGTCTAGGTGGACTGTTTGATGAGGAAGAAGACCAAACTTTGATTGGTGGTACAAAAAATGAGGTGGTGAAAAATCACGATGAAAAGCAGGAAACTGAGATTACTGAAGATTGTGAGGTATGGGCTGAATTTAAAATATATTGTTTTTTTTTGCGATAGAAGCGCTTTGCGCTATATTGAGTGAATGGCGTTTTCCCTGACGTAGCCCTTAGGTTATTTTTCGTAGGACGAATCAATACTTGGAGATTTTTTGTGCTGATGGTTTTTTTCGGTAGTGTGTCAGAGAACTGTTTGCTACTTCAATTCACTCTTTGCAACAAGCTCTTCCCAAATTTTATTTTATGATCGTTTGAATATTTTGTCTCTATCCGGGTATTTCGTTGGTATAAAACTTTTGAAGTAGTTTATTTTTGCTCGTGTATAATATATGCGAAAAAATGGAAATGATGTGATTCTTGTTCGTATGCACCCTCGCATGCTTCTCTAGATTTTCAATTGAAGTGACATGGAAAATGTATGAATTTTAGGCTCTGTTCACTGCTCAATGCTTGGAAACCAATCTGGAGTCGAGACGCCCTCTACCAACTGGAGGTTCAGGAGAATGCGGAGCCTCCTCGAACCCTCTCTCGGACCCCATTGAGGCACTGTATATGTCCACGTTGAGTGACGGAGTTTATGTCCCCAAGGAACCCAATGAACTATCAATCATGTCTCTACTGAAGAGTTTCACGAACCTCGAGTACCTCACAGGTAAGACACATAATAAATTGAGTTTTTTATTAAGTTGAACATTTATTCGGCTTCAACGGTTAAAAATCATTCAGCAGGAATAAAATTCATGCAAAAATCTGAAGGAGGTAGTACAACAAGGCTGAAAAAAAGATGTTCAACAGTGCCAAAAGTCATCAATTTTCGGCACTGTTGAACACGTTTTCAGTTTCGGCCATGTAGTTCGGCACCAAAGCGAACAGTCTTAAAAGAAATGCTATAGAGCCTCCTAATGACATATATATTGATTAACTTGTGTGATTTTTGTACGGATCTTGAGAGTTAGAATTCCGCTACCATTTGGGTATCTGTTTCCATCTTGGTATAATTTAACGATTGTTTATTCTGTAAATAAATTTGCTCAAAAAAGCTTACGACTTGTGACTCTGCCTACTGTTAAATTTATTTTTAGTTTTTCTAAATTTATAAGTTATCTTCGAACAACAAGTCATAGAAATTTTGAAGAATTTTCTCATCTTCTACATTCCTGTGAAAGTACATCGCAAATGTCTACAGTTCAGCTGTATTTTAAGACAACGTATTTTTGTGTTTGTAGGTTGTAACAAGATCAAGTGCGACAAATGTTCCGTGCACGATAATCGGAACCTCTCGGATGCGTGTGTGTGGTATAGAGTGACCAGCTGTCCTTCAGTACTGGTACTTCACATCAAACGCTTTGCCCAGTTTGGACTTCGCTTCCGCAAACTGAATACGTTCGTAACAATACAACCAGTGCTGGACATGGCCCCTTTCTGCAGTCCAGATTGCCCAACTGAATCCAGATCTTCGCCCAAAGGGGGAACGGGAGGAGGGGGAAGTAGAATCTTGTACAGATTGTACGGAGTGGTGGAACACGTTGGCAGTCTTCATTCAGGTATAAGTCAAGCTAAGTTTGAATGGGAAAGAATTTTTTGCGGATATGAGCTGTCATATATAGTATCTAATCATATATTACGTGTTGGCGCCATTGGTTAGCTATGTGTCTGGTGCGGCTACTAATTAATTAATACCTGCCAACCTTAAGTTTAGTCTGCGATGTTTGGATTCATTGTTGTTAACCGTTAAAAGACTAAACGAGTCAATCTTAGTTCAGTGAATTAAAGATATTGAACCTGCATTTTTCACATGGCGCAGCAAGCAGGACAAAGCGCGGGATCAGGGAAAAATCCACTGGGAATTACGGCATTTTGGCCGAGCAAATGTACGGAAGCACCAATGTTGTGGGAGCATTGGATTACACGATTCACCTGGGGTGTAATAGCAAAACATTCATTCAATCCGACGGCATTTTATTTTGCTAATACGCTCACTGAGGCGCAAATTACCGGTCTGCCAGAAGAGGTGAATGGGAAAAATCGAGTGGAAGCAGAGCAGACACTAATTTCTAACCTCTATTTGTGTTTGGGGGAACGTGGACAGGACGAATTACATAACCGGAAGCCCCATCTGGACCTGGCGACTACCCGATATCCACGGGTTTTGGATGAATTTGAGAGTGTTTTCCGCAAGGAAAGAAACGAAACATTCGAGACGTATCAGCTACTATCTCGGAAACAACGTGACGGGGAAACGCTAGAAGAATTTCACTCCGTTTTGAGTGGACTAGCCGCTAGATGCTCATTGGGAACATTGGAACGACGGGTGTTACGTGATGTATTCATAGTAAATATGTCCAACAAGGAAGCCCAAACGGAGCTATGCCGTTCAACTAAGACACCAGATGAGGTCTACCGGATTACTTTGTCATATGAACGGGGGGACAAATACGCAAAGTCGTATAAAGTATCCGGTGGGGGACTTACTGCGGCACCAGCGGGTTCACTACAAATTAAAGCGGAGCCTATAAGCGCAATTAGAGGAGGGTACCGTTGTCCATTCCAAAGAGGCGGACGTGGATTTGGCAGGGGCGGCACAAGGGGCCGCGGAGGAGCAGCAGATCGCAAGTGCTACAATTGCGACCAGAGTGGTTTTACCCCGGACCACATTCCAAAGTGCCCAGCAAGAAATGTAACCTGCAATTTTTGCAAGAAAATGGGACACTATGAGCGAACTTGTAGAGGACGTCGATCGGCGAATAGGGGTCGCGTAGGCATGATAAATGAGGATGACACCAATGGCGGGACTACCCAAGATTATCCGGAGGAGAGTGCATCCAATTACGGAAGTTCTGTCGGATGGGTGACTGATTCAAAGACACCGGCACATGGATGGGATTCGGATAGTTCGACGGAGTATGTGGTTATGTCAATTCGGCGGAAGGAGGAAACGGAATTAAAAGTCGCGGGGGCCAAACTAGCCTTAAGAATCAACGGCAAAGCAACTCAAGCCTGGATTGACAGTGGTTCGCCAATATCCATCTTCACTATTGGGGAACTAAAACGTACCCTGGGGACAGTCAACGTACAATTGAAACCGCTGAATCCACAAGACGACCAATTCCGCGATTACGGAAACAATCCGTTAAAATTTCTGGGAAAGATGCAAGTCACGCTTCATTCCAATGGATGGACTTGTTCGTCGGATATCAACGTCATCGGAGGGTGCCGACCGTCTATTATTGGCAGGGATTTAATGCCCTCACTAGGACTGATGCTGGTACAAGCACCATCGACAGAAGGGGTGAAAAGCATACATACCACGGAAGGAACTGTGGCGATGGACAATGACCTGGATGAGTGGCAGACACATTTCTGTAAGCAATTTCAACATCTTTTTCACAGGGTAGGGCGCATTCGAAATTATAAGGTGCAGGCAGATTTCTTCAAAAACCTAACTCCAATTCAACAAAAAGGTAGGCGAGTACCTATAACATTACAGGAAAAAGTCGATAAGGAGATTGAAAAACTGTTGGGACAGGGTCATATCCAAAAGTTGGAAGAATGTTCAGACAAATATTTTGTTTCACCTATTGTCATCACCGTGAAAAAGGACGGTTCTGTAAAACTTGCACTGGAATCTAGAGAACTAAACAAACAAGTGCATAAGAATAAATACCAAATGCCCAATATTGAAGAACTAATGGACATCGTAGGGCAAACTATCAGCGAACGCAAACAGGGGGATGTTTTTTTTTACAACGATGGACCTCACGTACGCATACGGTCAACTTCCTTTAAATGAAAACACTAGTAAACATTGCAATTTTTCATTGGTGGGAGGCCGTTCTACCGGTACATATCGATTCAAAACAGGATTCTACGGATTGACAACCATGCCGGCGGAATTTCAACGGGTCATGGATGCCATTCTGGCTGAATATCCGTGCGCGCATGCTTTCATTGATGATATATTAGTAATTTCGAAAGGTACCAAGATCGAACATATCGCTTTAGTGGAGAAGATTTTAACGAAACTCGATAAAGAAAATATGGCTTTGAAGCTAGAAAAATGTCAATTTGCGAAAAATACTTGCGAGTGGTTAGGCCACCGGATTACGAAATCAGGGATTACACCAATGGTGCGGAAAACAGATCCAATTGACAAATTAACCGCCCCGAAAACGCTCTCTCAGTTGAAATCGTTCATGGGGTCAATCCATAGTCTTCACAAATACTTACCGGCGTTAGCGGAAACTTCGGCGCCTCTACGTCCACTTCTAAGTAAGAAGAACGAATTCCTCTGGACAATTGACTGCCAAACAGCGTTCGAATCGATTAAGAAACAAGTCGCGAACATTGTCGAACTTAAGCATTTCGACGTACATAAGGATATACGTATCGTGTGCGACGCAAGCCATAACGGTTTGGGGGCGGTACTCGAACAACTAGGCACCGAGGGTTGGCGACCAATATCATTTGCGTCCCGGTTTTTAAATGCGGCCGAAAAGAAATATTCGACGAATGAGCTAGAAATGCTGGCCGTAGTTTGGGGCTCCGAATACTTCAGAAATTATATTTTTGGGCGGAAATTTACTGTGGTGACAGATCATAAGGCTTTGCTATCTTTATTGAATGGGAACAATAAGAAAAACAAGACTATGTTCAGTCGATTAACTCGCTGGATTGATAGAATTATCCCCTTTGATTTTGTCATTGAACACATGCCTGGGGCTAAAATTGGCCTGGCGGATTACCTTTCAAGGCATCCGGTGGGGGAAGCCACGAAAGTTAGTCTTTATGATAACATTTTCACAGTGGCAAAATTGAAATCAATTACCAATTCACTCGGATATATTGATACCAATAAAGGGATCATCAAAGCATCAAAGGAATCAATTGTTTCAGCTAAAGATATTCAAGTTGGAAACGATAAAGTTAACATTCCACCGGAAGAGGGCGTCAAAACGCGTGACCGTCGGTTGACCAATCAGAAGCCACTAAAACGAATAGCTGAGTGTAATGACCGGGAAAGCGCAAAAGTAGTAAAGTCAATCACCGAATGTAAACTACGTGAGTCTGATATTAATTCCACAGTAAACAGTAGTCCTCCATTTAACAAAACAAGTTATCGATCTAACAAAATACACATATCTACAATGACATCACTTAATTTGAAGAAATTAAATAAATTACTGTTGAAACATCCAGAAATAACGAGCGGCAGTAGCAGCGAGGTGGAGATTGTGGATGCACGATTGGAGGCGGAGACGCATCACACCAGGGACATTCGATGCAACACAGTCATCTCCATTCCTTCGGCATTCGGAGGTGAACTTTTTCCGGCGGCATACCCAGCAGGAGGGAACGTCATCATGTCAGTAATCCCCCGGGACTGCAAGATAGTCCGCAAAAGCGTTTCACCATGGGCGCTCGAGTATGTTCGACGCTGCGAGGGATGTCTGGTTTCCCTATCTCCACCGGAGTTTAGTCGCAGCTGCGGATGGATGCAAGGAATGCACCGATGCAGGTAAAAGCCTTAAACCATTATGCGCCAAAGGTGATGTTGGGAAGATCTATGAACCACGCGAGCCGAACGAATGCCTACAGCTTGATTTTTGGGGTCCAATTAGATACTTAAATGAATCAAGTAAATATGTCTTGGTAGCGGTTGACCGATTCTCACGTTGGCCCTCTGCAATGATCTGCGGAAATAATAAAAGCGACAAGGTCCTTAAGTTCATTAAACAATACATATCTCAACATGGTGTCCCTAGGAAAATTTTTATGGATCAAGGTACAAGTTTCACATCGAATGCAGTTAAATCATTTTGCAATTCCGAAGGAATTGAAATAATTTATTCACCCGTGAATGATCATCGCGCCACCGGGTGTGTCGAACGTACCATTGGCAGTCTGAAAAACTTTGTCTTAACTTACGCTAAAGAAAAAGATAGTGGAAACTTAGAATCAATGATAGAACGAGCCTTGAGTGCTTTAAGATTTGCCCCAAATGCTACTCTCAAAATATCGCCGTTTGAAGCTCATCACGGCAGAGAAGCCAATACGGTACTGCGAAATCTTACGAAAAAGCCAACCCTGCAAAACCTAAACTGGGCCAGAGTGTTGAAACAAAAATCTGCCTATTTAGATTCTACTGACCCCAGAGCTCCGAGGAACATCCAACCCATGGCAACGGATTGGGAAGAACGATCCGACGTGGAGTTTGATGTCGATCATATGAATCACCCTAGGCGACTGACACAAAATCAACTAGTTTCGGCGGCGGATGGAACACCAATGGCTGACGGGGACGGGAAACAGGCTTGTGGGGGAAAGTCTAAACAGCCAAGTAAACGGACCGAACTGTTGTTCCAACGACTCAAGGATAGCAATAAAAGGTATAGACCCATAAACCAAAAAGTAATTCGCGAATCTAAGCACACTATAACTCTAGCAAATGGCTCTGTACTTAGGAAAAGTGGGGTTGCCGAGAAAGTCATCAAATCGAACGCGCCAACTACCGCGAGTAAGCTAACACTACCACTCCCAGCTATGAGTGCATTGCAACGTCGGGCGGAACTAAATCGAGCAGCGAACGTACAGGCGGCGGGGACGAGCACACAGAGTAAAGCAAGCGCACAGAGTAAGGCTGATAATAGAGTGCGAGAATTTTCACCAGCGGAGGAGGACGATTCGGATTCGGAGTACGAGCCAATAACAATTTCCAAACACGCAGGGAACTCAACAATAGCACCAGGGCGAGATGTGGAAGGAAATGAACCAAAAATGAATAACGATGTAGAAAACGGAATTGGAAGACCAAACTTATCCGAAGGAAGCGGAGCTGGAAAATCCCAGGGGGTGGACACGGAGGTCCAGACTATGAGCAACGAGCAAGGGGGGAGTGCCCCAAATTTGAGTAACGAGGGGGAAACATTCTAAAAAGAAAGGGGAACGAGTACGACGCTTACGTCTTGTATCATACTCTAGTCAAGAATCAGAAGATGGAACAGGATCACGGAAAAGTACCAGGAAGCGGACGGCGGTATGATTCGGCGGGGTTATGATAGATAGTATATTGAAAGCGAGAACATCCAAAGGAGAGGAAGACAGAGAGCGGGACACTAATTGAGCAGGAAGGCACAATTGAAAGAGGGAGTGAAAAAGGAAACTCAAGAAACTTGTTAAACTAAAACTCATGCCCAGGGAGAGGGTGGACTACCGCTGGTCTAAAACTCAAACATTTCCGTTGGATAATTTTAAAACAGTTGTTTGAAAATTGATTGTTGAGGGAATGTCATATATAGTATCTAATCATATATTACGTGTTGGCGCCATTGGTTAGCTATGTGTCTGGTGCGGCTACTAATTAATTAATACCTGCCAACCTTAAGTTTAGTCTGCGATGTTTGGATTCATTGTTGTTAACCGTTAAAAGACTAAACGAGTCAATCTTAGTTCAGTGAATTAAAGATATTGAACCTGCATTTTTCACAGAGCTAATGGCCGCTTTCCTGTGGAACACCACCCTATAATCAATATTTGAACGGCATGACAGTAATTCGAACGAAAAGACTGACAGAAACTGATGACATCACCGTCGAGCTCAATATGTCGGTGTACAACTATATGATGATAATGAACTACTTTTTGGAGGACCATTTATCGAAGAGGCAAATGACAAACATACCAGGTGTTTGCTCAGTGCGGTGAAACACTAGTGTTATAGTGATCAAGGCCTTATAGCAATGTTTTGTGTAAATTTTTAAGGTTTTTACGCTTGCGATTAGCAATCGTTATCAAACTGGAATATATACTTTTTTTCTATTTAACAACTAGCTTAACAAAAGCAGTTGAATCAGTTAGCTCGGCTGTTAGCCACAGCCAAAGGTAGCTGATAGTAAAAGCACAGAATGCCTGTCAACAGATGTTTTCTGAGCATGTCTGTTTTTTAAATGGCCCTTCTATACGAAAATTTTTTGTTGCTTGTTTTCAGTTTTCTTTTTCCGCTTATTTTTCGCTTTTTAATAAAACTTGTGATTTTTTTTGGCTCAAAACCGTATTATAGCTCAATCTCGATTTTTTTTGGGCTAAACAGTCGTCTGCCCAAGTTTTGTCTGCGCAATATCCACTCAATGAACTTTGTTATTAATATTTATTTAACACTGGCAGTTGTATTTTTCCTTAATTTTACGCGCATTCCAGACAAACGTTAAAACAAATAATTTTTCAAGTTATTATGATTTTTAAATATATACTTTTTCGATTCAGCTTGCATCCTCTTTTAAGGCTAGCTCCCGTGTCATTTTTTATTGTATTGCAAGTGGTTTGAAGCTCCGCTTCGCCTCTTCAATTATCTCTATCGAGAATAGTTAAAGCTGGTTCGCCGCATATGATAGTTGGTTCAAATCACAATTGCGCTGTAAATTGGCAAGTTGAGCTCTTGCAAGTAAGTTATGGCTTAACAGGCGCTGATTATATGCGCTCTTGTAAGCATAAAAAATTAACCTCCGGAGTAGGCTTGCTGTCTGGTTGATTAAAAAGAAAGCTGTAATTTTTGTTAGTCATGTAAATAAGAATAAATCGACTTTGATAAGGCTGGCGCTTGTGTTATTGAAACATGTCTCTAGGTCACTACACGGCCTACGTGTGCCAGCGTGGAGACCAGTCGCAAAACAACACGAATCAGACCCCGGCTACAGACATCGTCAGTACTCTGCTGGACAGACTGACACCCAAACAGATGAGCCGGATGAGAGACGGAGGGGAGTTGAAGGGCACTGCTGTGAAAGAAGAGGGGGAGGGAGATGAACAGGCAGAAGTGGAGAGTGATCAGAGGGAATCGTGCCTGAACAGTGTGTGGTTCCATGTCAGCGACACACAGGTATGTCACTACGTGTTTTGTTTTTGAACTGAAGTATAATAATTAGGTTACGAAAGAAAATCTATCGCCAAAGCCGTTTTTGATGAGATTGAACAAGCCTTAAAATATTGGTGAACCAACGTTACTACGTACCGCAAAATGACAGTTGCAAGTTCTGTACAAAAAAGTTGCCTTATTAACACTTGCGAGCATAGTGTATTATTGAACCTTCTTCCAACACTAGCGCCAGCTTAGTGTATTGGTACGAACCTTCTTTTTTTCGAACCTACCTCGCAAATAAAAGTGTTCATGAAAAGTGTTCACTTGTTTGGAAATTTCACTATACCATTGCAAATTTGTTCTCTGCTTTATTTGTGACTAGTGTTTGGCTATTTAATATTAAGCTTCGGTGGATGAGTGGTTAGGGTGTGTGATTCCTAATCTCTAGGTCGCAGGTTAGAATCTCAGACGTAGCCGAATTTTAGGCTAATTCGAGGCTCATTTCCATTTTTTCTTGCACTTTATAGAGATGCTTTTTTGTCGTGTTCTCGCTAGTGTTTGCGAAGCGAAGCTTCGCCTCTGTGTAGAACTTTCCCATTTCGAGAAACTTATAGTTATGATTGGAGATGGATTTGTTGCTGGGAAGGGGCTTCTGTTATCCACGGTGTGAAAGAACATCGGCTTGCTTTGAATTGAAAATTAGCAGTTGTGTATCCTACAAATAATTATTCATTGACTGTATTGCAATGGTTTACAGAGAAAGATTTCTTAGTTTTCATTGAATTGTGGAAAATTTGCAAACGATTTGAAAATGAAATAATTAGAAGTTTTTAATGAAAATCGTTAAAAAACTTTTTTTTTGTCGGACAATTGGTGACTCAACGTCTGTTTCAGGTGCGACAGGTACCCTTCAGCAAAGTGCTTTCCTCATCGCCCTACATGCTATTCTACGAGAAGATTCTCACATAGCAGAAACAGATTATAAATGCTAAAGAAAAGTGAAAGCAAAGTAGAGTACCACACCGTTTGATTTATTCTTAATTGACCTATCAGCCAACAACCTCTTCTCAGTCCTACATGTTCTCAAATGTGAATCTAATTTATATATAATCCCTGATTCTTTCTTTTTATTCAGCCATACTCAGATATTTTAGTCCCCAGCGGAACTTAGCTTTTTTGGGGGCTCCTTTATACTATTTTTTTATCCAAATGTCGAAAAAAGTGACGTGATATTTGTGCTCGGTTTTTTTCTTCTTCAGGTGATTTTAGAATTTTTAACCTCTATTTTTGACGGAAGTGCTTTTTTTCTGTTTGAGAGATGCTGATATCTTTAGCTCAAAATTAACGAAGTTAAAAATTGGGATAATTACCGCGCAATATATTTTGCTCTATTGAAGCGTGAGCAGTGATTCAATCCGGCGCGGAAATAATTCAGAATTCAAGTGAAGCAAGCTAGCTCTGTCGTCTGTTATATAACACAACGTGTGATGGCAGATTTTTGAAGAAAAGCAATAATTCATCTTTTTTGAAGAGTCGATGAATGTTGTTCAGACTGTTTTATAGGTCATGATGATTTCACTAATTTACTATTACGATTGACTTTTTAGACTTTCGTTCAACTCCTCTCATCATACGGTGAACAAAAACAACTAAAGTTTGAAAAAGAAAAACTTTCTAAGAGTCATGAACGTATTGATTACTCTAATATAGGTCTTGGTGAAGGTCTTGGTGATTTTTTCTAAGGAAAAAGTCTGAAAGTTGTTTCAGGCTCAAATTTATGGTTGATTGTTGATTTAATTTCAGTTCTTTTTTTTTGTTAAAAGGAAGACAAATTCCACTATCGAACAGCGAAAGTGTAAAGAAAGACGTAATCGATTTCTGTTTTCGAAAGTACGCTTTAATTTGCAGATTTCCCAGTGTAAAGAAAAGTTTATTGATCCAGTGTTCCTAAAATGGCTTAATTTTATCAAAAGAGCACCGATCATTAACTGTTGTTGAAATAAGATCTTCAAGGTCACCAATTGTTTCTTCGAAATTAGAAGTTTTTGAAAAAGATAAGTCCGTACTTTTTTTACTTTCGCTTTTTTACTCTTTTCCAAACACTGTTGGCTATATTCGAAAACTAGCAGTTTTTGGCAAAAATATTATTTTAAAAATCAAAAAAATTTGTCGAGAAAAAATTTGAAAAAGTTTCAGTGAATTGTTTCCATTTTTAGTTTTTTTTTAAATTGTCAAACGTACCTAATTTACTATTATTATTGAAGTTTTAGACTTTCGTTCAGATCTTCTCATCATACGTGAACAAAAAACAGCGCAATTTGAAAAAGAATTTTTTTTAAAGAGTAATGAACGTAGTGAGGTCTTGGTGATTTGTTTTCGTTTTTTTCGCGTTCTTTTTCGATTTTGCGCGGTTTGAATTTTGCTGGCAACTTTTTAATTGTAATGAGTACACTTATATCGTCTGGGTCATTTTTCTTCATGAAAAATACTAAAAATTTGATCGCGCTGTTTCGATTTTTCGCGGTTTGACTTTATTTTCTTTTCAAGTTCACTTCATTTCCTTTGTTTATCGAACAGGAAAAAAGTAGAGGTTATGAAAAACGCAATCGACTTCTAATTTAGAATATGGAGATTTTTATCAGGGGCAAAATTTTAAAGGAGCAAAATTTTAAAATGAAGAAATTAGTCCAGAAAGAATTTGGAAAGTTTCGATAATTTATTTGATTATTCTATTTTTTATTGTTGATCTTAAGTTTTCAAATGTACCTAGGTTACTATAACGCTTGACTTTTTAGACTTTCTTCCAGTCCCTGTCATCATATGGAGAACGAAATTAACTAAAGTTTGAAAAAGAAAAACTTTTTCAGAGTAATGAACGTAGTGATGTCTTGGTGACTTTTTGTTTTTTTTGAGGAAAAAATCTTAAGTGTTCGCGTTGTTTCGATTTTTCGCGGTTTGATTTTTGATGGTAACTTTTTGAATGTTTTGAACTTAGTGAGCAACCTTATATAGATCTTGCTTATTTCTTTTTTTTTTTCAGGAAAAAGTCTGGATATTTGTTCATGCTCAATTTTGATTTTTCGCGGTTTGACTTGTGATTTCTTGGTAATTTCAGTGTATTTCCCTTGTTAAAATGAAGGAAAATTCCACTATGAGCAGCGAAAGTGTAAAGGTCACGAAAAACGTGATCGACTTTTGCGTCGAAACTATAATTTATCTTATTAGTTTTCCCAACGGAATAAAATTGTACCTATTGTCCATTTTTCTGAGATTGAGCTTATTTAATCAGAAAAGTTCCCAACATTGTTCTAGAAATTCAAAGGGCGATAAGTTTTCTTGCGCTCATTATTCTTTTCCAACTCAGTTAGAAATTGACTAGGTAATCACGCTTAAGGTTGCGACCGGGGGATTATATCGGAATGAAATTTCTTGGAGTACTGAGGTATTGTTCCCACCTTTAGAAGATGGGAGGAGCTTTGTATGCGAGCGGGTGTGTAGAGTTGTGTTTTCTTTTGTTTTCCACGCAAAGTCAGGTACCATAAATAATCAACATTATAGGTCGAGTGATATATCATATTAAAGCCTTCGTGATTTGAACGAAACGTAAAGTTTTCCATTAAAGTACAATCTTTTTTGACATAAAAGATTTCAACGGTGTTAAGAAAACATTGTATGAAGGTTTTGATTGAAAGTCTATTTTCGAGCTAATAAATCGAAGTTAACTAACTGTCTTAAAGTAGGCTTTTAATAGTAGTCTTATAAATCGAGTTAAGCCATGAACCTTTAGTTGTAATCAATAAAGTTTATGTTCCAATTGTTTTCAGCGCCCTTATACGAGCAAATTTTCAAAAAAGCAAAGAACTTGTTTAAAAAGAATTTGATTGATTTTGATAAACTGTTTGATTGTTTATTTATTCTTTTTTTTGCTTTAATTGAAAATGTCAAATGTACCCAATTTACTATTACTGTTGACGTTTTAGACTTTCGTTCAGATCCTCTCATCATATGTGAACAAAAAACAACAGCTCAATTTGAAAAAGAAAAACTTTTTAAGAGCAATGAGCTTAGTGAGTACCCGTACATAGGTCTTTGTGATTTGTTTTTTTTTAGGAAAAATGTCAAATTTTAAAAATAAGTTACAATTAAGGTTGACGTTTTAGACTTTCGTTCAGTCCCTGTCATCATATGTTGAACAAAAATAAATTCGAAGAAGAAAAACTTTTCATGAGAAATGAACGTAGTGAGATCTTGGTGATTTATTTTTTTTTTCAGGAAAAAGTCTGACGTGTGTGCGTTCTATTTTGATTTTTCGTGGTTTGACTTTTGATTTCTTTTCAAGTGTATTTCCTTTCCCTTGTTCGAAAGAAGGCAAACTCCACTATCGAACAGCAAAAATGTGCAGGTTACAAAAAACCTGATGGATTTCTAATTTCGAAAATGGAATTAATTTACCAGATATCCCCGCGAAATAGAAAGTTTACCTATTGATTCAGTTTTCTCTAACTGAGTTACTTTTATCAAAAAACTAACCATTAATTGTTTGTGAAATTCAAAGAAATTTAGGAGCATCTATTTTTTTTCTGAAGTTTTCATTCACTAGTTAGCAGGGGTTCGTACTTTTTATAGGGTCAGTCGGCGCCAGTATTTAAGAACCGAAAATCGACTTCTAGTTTTGAATACGGGATTTATTTATCTAGAGCAAATTTTTGAAAGTGCTACATTTTAAAGGAGCAAAAGTTTGAAATTAAAAAACAGTAGGTTTAGAAAAAGTTAGAAAACTATTCGATGAATTTAATTTTTTTTGCTGATTTAAAATTTTCAAATGTACCTGCGTTACTGTTACGATTGACGTTTTAGACTTTCGTCCAGTCCCTGTCATCATATGTTGAAAAAAATAACTAAATTGTGAAAAAAAATTTTTAAGAGTATTGAACGGAGTGAGGTTTTGGTGATCTGTTTTTCTTTCAAGAAAAAGACTACTGAAGTGTTCGCGTTCTAATTGAATTTTCCACGGTTTGACTTCTGATTTTTTTGAAGTGCACTTCCTTTCTCTTGTTCGAAAGAAGGCAAGCTCCACTGTCGAAGAGCAAAAGTGTAGAGGTTACACAAACCTGATCGATTTCTTATTTCGAAAATGGAATTAATTCATCAGATTGCCCAGCGAAATAAGAAATTTATCTATTGATCCAGTTTTCTCAAATTGGGTTTTTATTTGCCAAAAAAGCCACTAGCCATTAATTGTTCGTGGAGTTCAAGGAACTTAGAGGGCATCTAGTTTGTTTTCGGATTCGTACGCTTTTCATTAACACGCTTGCATGGATTCTTATTTTTTATAGGGGTAGTCGGCGCCAGTATTTAGGAAACGAAGTTTGTAGGTTGGCCGACTGTAGTTTGTTTGCTGGCAGCAAAATTGTTTCTCCCGTATTTTTTAGAACTAAGGAAGCAAACTCATTTCTCGGACAGGAAAAATAAAGAAGCTATGAAAAACGCGATCGACTTCTAATTTCGAATACGGAACTTTTCACATCTGGAGTAAGTTTTAAAGGAGCAAAAGTTTGAAGATAAAAAAAACTGGACTACAAAGAATTTGGAAAAATATTCGGAAATGGTAGTCGGCGCCAGTATTTAAGAAACGAGGTTTGTGGGTTGGCCGGCTGTTTAAGTTTGCTGGCTGCACTGTTTTTTCTTCCGTTTTTTTATAGGATTAAGGAAGTTATGTGACGATGTAGAATTGTTCGGCTCTTTTTTCGAAATTGACAAGATGATCTTGCTTGAAGTTACGGACGGAGGATTATACCGGAACCTCGAAAAATTATAAAGCGGTGAATGAATTTTTTTCGGAGTAATGAGCTCATGTTCCGACAATAGAAGATGAGTAAGCGGGTGGATGCCGGTTGTAATTAGTTTTTTCTGTTGTTTTCCACGCAATTCAGGTACCACAAATCAGCATCCTAACGGGTCGAGTGATAAATCATATTAAAGCCTTCTGAAACGTTATTTGAACGAAACAAAAAGTTATCCAACAAACTACAATCTTCTTTGACATAAAAGATTTTATCAGTGTTAACAAAATCTTGTTTGAAAATTTTGATACTAAGTCTAATTTCGAGCTTATAA